TTAATTAAATTTTTTTTAAAGTCATCTGATTTACAGAATTGTATGTTTTTATCATAAAGGATATTCTATTTATTCAATTACAAAAGTTTAAAAATAATAATAAGTATATAGATTTTTAAACATTGTTTATCTTTTGTTTAATTATTATTGATTCTTAAAATAAAACCTAAATTCTTTATAAATTAATTAATATAAAACTAATTTGTTATTTGGTATCTAAAACTTTTTTTTACAATATATTACTGATACTTAACAAAATTTAATTAACTATCGTAAGCATTACAATGCAAAATTAATATAAATACACCTAGTGGCTAGTACCTAATTATAAATTATTAACGAATTATTATGGACAATATTATGGTTATAGCCGTTATAGGTGCACTATATTAATATAATTATTAAAACTATACAATTAATTTTGGCCAAAAATTAATTATTAACAGTTCCTCAAACTTTTAACGGATCAAATTTATTTTTGTAGCATTTTAAATGTCAAGAAAGAAAAGCAAATAAATCGTTAAACAAACACAATCTTATCTTCTAAATGTTCGTTAAACGTTAATTACACTTCTTAAGATCCGCATATTAATTACATAAATCATTTTGGGACGTCACAGATGGTACAAAATTTCTTGAAGTATATTAGGATATATTTGCTAAAATAATGCATTACAACTGTCATATTTTTAAAGATTGCAATGGTTGTTAGTTTATGGTTTATGAAAAATGTGTTTTTTTTTTCATTCAAGATTGTATTTTTATTTATTTTAATATATGGGAATCGTATATTACATAACTCTATGTTAATACAATGTTTAAAAATAAACATTTCAGTATAAATCATATCAATTTTAAACAATAATATTAACAATAACAATAATAAATTTTCATGACCAAGTGGTTAGATTATCTTTTAGTTGGAAATTGTTAGAATATTTACAATATGCTCATAATTTTAATCAGGAATATTATTAAAATCGGTGTATACTAGTTGCGGTCAAAATCATAAAATACGTACTAGTTGCAGTCACCCAACAAAAAGGTTACGTACTAGTTGCGGTCGCTCAAAAAAGTAGTATTTAGTACAGTATAAATAGTATATAGACATATAGTTATATATTAATACAAAAAAGTTCTAATCAACATTTTGATTCCCATTTATATCGAAAAGATAACAGACTTAGGACTGTCTATACTCTTATATATTGTGTAGGTATGGTTAAAAATGTTGGTACTTGGTTTTATGATTAACTTATGTCAAATWATATAATATAATGTTGTGAAAATCCGTAGTGCTTTTAATTTTTTACCCAACATATTATTATTGCGTGAACTCATTTTTACCACGTCGAAAAACGTAGGCATACTGAATGCAATATTCAAAACTACGGTTGGACTATACAATTTTATCTATTTTATATATAAACTTTACAGATAAATAGTGGTGTTCCCGATGTTCCCGTATAAATATAATATRTTAATTGTAAAATCAGCATGACCGTAACTAAGATATTACCTACAATCAACGTGACCGCAACTGGGCAGCTGTTATAATAATATGTGCTTATCTTAAAAATCGCCAATGACCGCAACTCGGATACAGCCATTAAAATTAATCATTCTATATTAAACATTTCATTCATATTAAATTATACATTAATGTTATAACCAAAAAAAACCTCKTTAAACTGTTTTAAATTTAAAATTTAATTATAAAACGAATTTCACATGAATAAGTTATAAAACATACATTCTTAAATAAGAATTTTYGTATTTTTTATCCATGTTAAAAGTTAATCATGTATATTTGTAATTATTCTTCTAAACTTAAAATATTTTTTTATGTTCAATTCAAACCATATATATATATATAAATACCATATAATAACCATTTAAATAAGTCAGGATAATTATTTTCTTATTGTCTAAACGATTTAATATAAGCCTAATATATAATTATTTTTTTAATTGAAAATTATTTAGAACTATTGAAATGGAAGTCACGTACAAAACCTAATGGTTTTCTCTCGTAGATTTTATGTGATTTTTTACAATTCTAAAAGTTGTATTTTATCAATGTGCCAAATCTAATTGATAGAATAAATGGTCATTAATATTAACCTTATTTTATACTACTATTGTATACTAGACCCATAACAGATACCTAGTTATCGATTCAATTAGTAAATAAGAAAAATCAGAGAACTCGCTCTGGCGTAGAGTAGATTAAATTTTTACTGTACCTTCCTCTCTTTGATAAAAATCCTATAAAGGGTAAGTTTAATTTGAATTCAATAATAAATCATTATTTACAACAACAACAAAAAAAACGTTTATAAGTGTATGATATGAGTGGAACAACATAATATATTACATTATATAACAATATATACATTATAAATATTTCGAGTTGTATAAATTCAGTAGATTTGAACAAGTGTTTGATAATATCTTAATATACATGAACGTATATATATGAACGTAGGTACTTTAGAACAACGAGTAGTATATTATAAGTTTCTCTCATTACACAGAACAAAATTAAAAAATGAAACAGTTCATTTAAATATTTGGATTATTTCAAAATAACAAACATCATTATTTTTTATTTAGATATCCAATTTTTATTTTAAATTGAACTTCAAGCTCATGTTRAAATGATAATGTCAAAGTATTTCGGATAATTTTTAACTGCTATGAGAAAACTTTTTTTTTAAATTGTATAAAATGTTCAAGCTTTTAACCTAGAAACAAACATTTTATAAGCATGCATTTAAAATGTCTACAATAAAAATAGAAATATTTTTTTAAATATATCACATTGCATAAAACAAGGCAAATAGATGATATTATATGTTGTAGAAATTTCAAGTCGAATATAAAAATCAATTGTGATGAAAATTTGTTTTCGCTCAAATATTTCCGACCTCTCATTGTCTTTTTTTAGTTTTCTGAGAATTTTTATTTTTTTCATYCACGGATTTAGATTCAATTTGCTACTAGGAACCACACTCAATATTGAAAAAAATCGYGGCTTTTTCTGTTCCAATATGGGTTGTTGKGCACAAAATATCACTCTACTCAGAATCTAAATTGCAACTTGTTTATTTTACACTTAAATATTGCTATAAATATTCATTCAACTGTTAAATAAACAAATTATTGCGTTATAAATAAGACGTTAATCGGTTACTTACAATAACTGTTTATGCTTAAACAGTGACAAAGTAAGTGAAATCATATWATATTATAAAAATTAATTGGTTTTTAAATAGTGATTCTGATTTTCACATTCTATAATGTTGTTCACATGTATTTGCTAACGAYKAACAAATTACAGTTATGATTTAACATACGAGACCAAATTCTACGGTAAAAAAAAACAAATATAATTTAATTTCTTTTGATGTTTAGATAGTATGGAAAATCTGAACGACACACACAAGTTATGAAAATCATATTTTGTTTGATACTCTTGGTAATCGTAATAATAAAATATAAAATAAATAAAACTACTGTATACAGACAGAACCTTGAACATGTTTTCAACACAATTATTTGCACATAGTTTTTACATCAGCCCTTAATGTTGGCTTTGTTCACTAATTTATTTTTCACTGGTATCATTTTACGTGACTACCAAAAGAATAATAATGGCCTACTATAATTTATATAATATATAAACAGAGTGAATCACCAACCCACTCACCTCTTCTCTTATATTTTATTAAAGCATTTATTCGATCTCTGATTTCTGATTTTTTAAATTATTATGATGAAACGTATTTTAGTATACTTAAAGATCAAATKTATTTATCTAGTTCTTAAAAAAAGTATAATTTACTTACACATTTTTAAATAAAAAAGATTTATATATAAAAATAAGAAGTTTTACCGGCACAGAAAACTCCTAAAATTTTAGGTCACACAAAATAGGTACCTTAATATTTTACAATAGGGTCTTTGCATACCTATTACTCAAAAATTAAGATAATAAAATTTGAATGTTTGGTTTTATAAAAATGTGGATGACTATGATTTGTATTTAGTCCTATATACATAATGGTTTATAGAATTTTCATAATATATACGATASTACATTATATTATTTTAACACTTACTTAGGTTTATTTGACTGGAAATAATATTATAAATTAACATCGAAAATATCTCCAACATTTGTTATTTATATTGCGATTAGTTATAGACAAATTAGGTCAAAAGATTTACGGACACCACTATTTTCAGCAGGTTAATACAATAATATTTATGAGCGGAAATTAGTTATGTCCAGTAGTGTTTCTTACCAAAAATAAAATATGATGTGGCCAATGTATTTGAATTTAACTCTTACTGACAACATCATTATATAACGGTGTTATGTCGGTGAATAGTTTGATCCATTGCTAGTTGCCATGGTTGTATTCATTTATTAAAGAAAAATATCACAGAATGAAAAATTCCTAAATAACAGTGATCTTTAAAGTCTCGTATATTTCAAAAGATAAGGCACTTAATATTTTTGTAGGTCTTAGAGATTTATTTATAAACGGGGAAAAGCGGAGGGAATCCGACGAACGTCCGTAATCCGTTTGATTGATAGCGAATAATGAGCGTCGACGTCGTCGTCGCCGTGCGTAGCAGGGAAATTACGTTTCGTTTTTCACTGCAGTTGTTATTTTCTTTTATATTTATTCTATTTTTCGGTCATTCGTTTATTCGTGTTTCATTCTTGTTGGAATTAGTTTTAGATTTTGTCTACATTATCAACATCCTAATAACGTGCATTTGTATATTTTTTGATTTCAGGTTTCTTGGATGCGAAAACGAGACCTGCATATATTGACGTCCAGCATCCACACGTATACTGGAGATGGGCGTTTTAGCGTCATACATCCAGAAAACAGCGAACAATGGGATTTGAAAGTAGAGTTTGTGCAAAAGAGAGATGCTGGAATATAYGAGTGTCAGGTGAACACCGAACCTAAGATCAACTTAGCTGTGCAGCTGAACGTCGAAGGTAGTACGTATAACAAATCAATTTTAAATTTATGTAGGTATGATATTTTAACACATATAGTTAGTGATTAAATAGTTTAATTTGTATATTCATTGCAGAATCATTAAATTATATCATAATAACCATCGCTAGCTCACAGTAAGTCGTCGAATAATATCTAAATTATTATTTGAAACGCAACCAATTCAATTTAACTATTCTGCTCCTMAATAACCAAAGTTTAAATGATCAACTTCTTTGTTTCTCAGTTATTATTGGTATCAATATTACGGTATTACTTAGATTCATTTTGTATATTTCGATATTGTTTTCAATACTACAATAAAAATATAACAATTTATTTTTATTTTTTTCATAATCCCATTGGTCWAATTTATTAGCTTATGGAAATCCATTAATCATTATTACACTCTTATTATCTAATGACGTAAAAATACT